AAAAGAAAATGTTCTTTTACACGTGCTTTTTTCATGTTATTTGAAACTATTAAAAGTAAGAAACAGAATAACAGCAACCAACAATATGTAGTTAACGATCATTTTTCTCATGTGTGTGTAGAGATGTTTTTTTATGAAATGGAAAAAAATAGAAATTTCTTTTAACTATTTTCAAGTATCTTCGATAATTTAAATAAAAAATTATTTCTCTAATCAGAATTTCTTAACACAAATAATTATTTAGAACATCGATCAAAGTAATAGTATCGCTTGGGTATTTTTGAATAAATTTCAATAGGAAGAAGATGAAGAGCTACGGTTTTCACTGTATGCGAGAAAAGACTATTTTTTGAAAATATTTGACAATAACTCTAAGAAAAGTAGTTCGAGAAATGTATCCATATAAGTTTTTATGCGTCTTCATTATTTTTTTTCGAGAGTGAAAGACGCAGGTCTTCATCTTATTCCTATTGAAATTTATTCAAAAAATACCCACGCAACTTTTGTTCTGAAGTGGGCGGTGGTGTAGTCACTATATTTTTTTCTTTATTACAAAAAACATATTCAACGCAATTATTATTTGCCATCATTTCGTTTTGTCTATTGTGTAAACAAAGAAACGAATATTACATAGATAGTAAATACTAATCATATTCATAAAGTCAAAAACTTCACCAATACATGTATATTATTATATTATATGGCGTCATTTTCATGATTAACTGTATTACAGAATTAGTCAAATACTGACTATCTCAAGTATGACTACCGTGAAAAATCGCATTAGTAAATGAGATTTTCAAATGTGATTACTTCAATATAAATATTCGATAATCATCGGATATATGTAGACGGTTTATTACATATAATCGAAAAATGTAAAATATGAATCGATTGTCTGCTCTTGGTAATGTAAAAATATACACATGATTTTAATATTAATATAACATATTTTACTTAAATAGGTCAGGACGGTAAAATCATTTTTAGCTTTTCTTAATGGAAAACATCAACGTAATTGCTATCGTTGATAAAATTACAAAGATTCATTTTTTATATTCCTCGATTAACTGATTGAGTCCTATATGAGATTAAAAAAAAAAGAATTCGATAGAATGATGTTAAAAACTAAATTTTTGAATTAATTCGAATAGAAAAAATAAAATATTTAAAGACAGACAAGCAAAATTATTGAAAATCTTATTACATGACTAAGAGTACAAATAATCCGAATATTTTATTTCATTTTATTATATATAGTTGATTTGATTACGGTGAACATACAGACTCTGTTATTTTATGAATCATATATCAAGAAAAAAATTTTTATTAGTATCTATGAAGAATTGATGAAAAATAATATTAGTATTAACAAAAGTATAACTGATACAATTATAGCAAGATTACAGAAACAGTATTATATTAGTGACACAATACAAAAAAGAAAGAAATTATGTCCGTTGAATATTTTTATAAATTAGGATGCTGCTACTTTGCTTTTACGACTCTTCAATAACTTTTTCTTGTTGTCTTTATGACATTTCTTTCGACAAGCATTGAGTGTTTGTGTTGCCGCTGCATCATTCGCTGAACCTTGTGCTGCTATACATTGTGCTTTGCAAGCTTTTACTTCTGCACTAACTTTTCGTTTTGTTCCTGTTGTTTTTTCCTTCAATGAAGTTGATGTTTTACGGCGTGAAGCAGGACTTAACTTTTGAGTTTCAGTTTTTGATGCATCACCATTAATTACATCGACGAATACGGCAAATATAACGATCACAAGGATACAAATAGCAAGAAGACGCATTTTTCTACCTGAATAAAAAAGAAGAGAAATGTGACATTATCATATACTTGTGAATATATATATTGCTTTATGATCATTGATGTGTGACAGAAAAAAAAATAAGAAAAACGAGTGAAGGGTATTCAGGCAATCTATCAATTGGATGATTACACTACGAAAAAAAAAAGAAGAAACGTGTCGACTACTAAAAACGAAACAGAGAAAATAAAAAAACAAGTTATAATTACGATGCATGTAAATATTATGATCCAATAGAAACAAATATGTATAGATTCGATTCTGAGGATTGCATTAAGAAATTAGAATATTATTTTGAAAAATATATATATTCGAGTTTAAATCGGGATTGTGCTTCATTGATCTGTTAAATTAATATTATTTATTAGATTAATTATTGGAAATTCCTCAAAATACATTCTGAGAAATCATATTCTTATTACATGCCTATTTGCCGTGCAAATATACTTATCATTGTTATATATACTTTGTTTACTATTCAAACTAAGAATGACTTGTTTTGATTTGGAATTTCAAAATAATAAATCAAATTTATTTTGTACAATCAGTTTTTCTCTTAATTTACATGATGCGACTTTCTAATCTAGAACTTCTAATTGTTACATTTCTTTGAAAAAGTCAAATATTTTTTCTTTACTGATATATCTTTTTATAAAATCTTTCTATCGTGATTTATTGATATTGACATCGATAAATATGGTAAAATAAATATATTCTGTTGCAATAGTAAGAAAAATATTTGATTGAAATGATTTAGGATGATTAGTATATTGCTTATTATTAACTACAGATATATAGACTTGTACTAGAAACAAGGTCAAAAGAGAGAAATTCAAGTTAGTAACTGTAGTTAAATGTTAGAGGTCTTTTGATGAATTATTATCTAAATCATACTAATCAATGTAAAATTCGCAAGATGATCAGAATACATAACGTTTGTCGATTCAACGGAGTGAAAAAGTGCGTTTATAAATTTTTTTTCGACATGATCTTTCTGGATGACGGTTGGTTATCTTTTACGATAATTCATATGTCCTACATTCATTCCCGTTTGTAGATAATTTTACAGTTATGATTAATTCTGATGATTGAATAGGGATTTTTTTCTAAATATGATATATCCCATACATATCATAATTCATCAAGATCTTCTGCTGTACAAGAAATCTTTTATCATTAGAGTTATTTTTTTTCCATTGAGCAATGTTGAGAAAATGTTTACAGATGATTTCTTTTTTAGTTTTCTCGTCAGATTAATCATAACTGTGAAATTATCTACAATTTGGGGATATGAAATAGGAATGAATACAAAGTTACGATTTGTCGTAAATGTAAAATATATTATTCCTTCTTAAGTGAGTAAGATATTTTTCTATTGTTTCTGTAAAATATCAGTTTCGCATCGTCGTTTCTAAGTTTTTAAAAATACCGATACACTCACATCCATATGAAGCCTAAAACTAATTTCAAAATTTAACATTATTTTATTTCGGTATATTATATATTAATATTTTATATTTATTTAGGTAAAAAATATAAAAAAGTTATTTTTTTCTGAACTTATCGGTGTGAATAATCAAAAGATAAACCTAACGTTCACACTCATTTTCATGCTTCTTGAAAAAACTATCATATCACAATAGATATCTCTGATATATCTATTGAATTCTAGTCAACTCTAAAGTCATACTATATAGTATTGATTGCAACTAATGAAGTAACTATACAATCAATTTTTCAATATGATCTAGTATTGCACAGATAATTGACTATACTACTGGTTTCGAATATGGCCATGTCATTTATATACAGACAGACCTCGAAAGATTGACCTTCTACGAAAATATTTTTTTCACTATGATTTTTTGATAAGTATCGATGATATAGACTATCAAACAAGTCATAGAAATCTAAATAGATTTCTATACAATTGATAGCACTTATTTTTTCTTATGATTTCACAAGAAAAATATTTTCTACTAATATCAATAAAACATGTCTGGCTTGTTCAAACTCAGAGTATATCAACCTCTGATTCAGTAGAGGTCGTATGCCAAACATGATGACTGGACAAAAATTTTTGTGTCTGATTATATGCAAACATTCAGAACTAGGAAATCCATTTCCTTAAAAATTCTCTATATCTACTAGATTAAATAGTGCACACAGTTAACAGTTCCATTGCCCATTATTTTGAAAACCAAACGCAATCGATATTAATCATGTAGAAATTTTTCTAAGGAAATAAAAAAATTTAACTTGACACAAAAGATTGAACATTCAAGATCTTTGCGTGACTGTTAAGTTGCACTTGAATTATGTTTATTCGATAACCTATATCCTATCAAATCTCATTGAGAGATAAATTTAATAGTTTGAGTGAATTTCCTCGTTAGCTGTACTATAAAAAGAAACTTGTAATAAAAAACTATTTTGAACTCTCAAGTTTCTATCGAGTTTGAAAATATTTAGTATCAAATTTATCCTTTTTAGAATACCGAAAATATTAGTTTTGATTTCATTTTTAAAACATGAAAGATCTTATTTCTTTCCGTTACCTAGAATTGTCTACTGCATATAAATATTCCAACTTTCGATTGGTTATTTTGAAAAACAAATTCTTTATTTGGTGTGATAGAGTGTACAAAGTATCAAACTATATCTTTTGTTCTTCTGCACGTGAACTAAGAACGTGATAAACGTTATAGATTGTCTTTGTTCTTCTTACAATAGACGAGAGAATATATAAATATGTCTATCTAAAAATAGAAATCTAATTCATTTCATTTAAATAACTAAAAATGCCGACAAAATCATCATCGATTACTGCTACCGTTATAGAAGATCATACAGATGTTAAACATGCTTATCAGGTTTGATTTATTAATAAATATAGAAAATAAAAAAAATTCTTGATTGATTTATTCTAGCAATATTTAGCAGCTCGTGGTAATATTGCTGAACGAGAACGTTGGGCAAATCATTTTCGATGGGAACTTACTCGACATAGTCTTGCTGAAGAACTTTATCTTTATCCAGCTTTTGAACAATATTTAGGTCCAGAAGGAAAAAAAATGGCTGATGAAGATCGAGCAGATCATCAAAAAGTACAAAATTTTTGTTTTTATTATTAGAATTTATTTTCTAATTATGAAATTAGGTTAAAAATTTATTACATGTTCTTGAAGCTTCATCAGTAGCCGATTCACATTATCCTTGTACATTTGAAGAATTAATGGCAAATTTATTAGAACATATTCAAAGGTATATATAAATATATTAATATGAAGTTAAATTTCTGTTAAATAAATTTTAGTGAAGAAGAAAATGATTTACCAAAATTTGAACGAGCTATAACACCTGAAATAAGCGCTTCAATAGCTCGACAATTTGAATTAACTAAAATGCTTGTTCCAACTCAGTAAATTTTTATTTTTATTTTATTTACAATTTATTTGTTAAAAATTTGTTTAGATCTCATTCAGATACGCAACATAAAGTACCATTTAAAACAGTTGGCGAATTTATGGGTGCTTCATTTGAAAAAATTCAACATTTACTTGATGAATATTCAAAAACAAATTGAATCAATTCAACTTATAGGATTTATATATATATTCACGTTTCATTATTTTAAAGTTTAATTATGTTTAAGATATTATAATAAACTAGCATTAAATGCAAAACTAACAACTTTTTAATTATGTCAGTTGAAAATAGGATAATGAGATTTCTCAAGAGTGTCTCAGTGCACTGTTTAGAGTTTAACGAGTGAAGTTGAAGTTATTAAAAATTTGAACCTCCCACATGTTTTTTTTTTTCTAAAAATATGAGAATAACCATGACTTAAGAACCACTTCATCACTTTTCTCTTCAGAAAAATGCGTACTTGATTATTAACAGTTGAATTTTTTTGCTAAAGTGAATGAGTGCATATTATAATATATATTTTTTAAGGTCAAAAAAATCTAAAGTACTGAAGGTGTTATCACAGTTGCCAAAAGCAATGTTCTCAAAAAAAAACGTGTGTTTCAATTTGATTACAGGATATAATAAATAATATGAATTCAATCTATTGTGTTGCGTATAGAAGAGAGAGAGAGAGAAATGCAACGAAAAGTTATATTATTATGTACAAAGAGTAAAATTTCTGCGTCAAAAACAGATTTAATAAGTACAAAACGCGCGCTCCTACGTAATAATTTTAAATAATTAGTTTAATTTTTTTCCTATTAAAAATTCATATAATATTTGCCTGACGTGAATCTACGTATTTAATTAAAGTTGATTAATCATTTGTAAATATTAGATTTCGAACAAAATTAATTAAAAATACATTGAACGATACGAATAAATAAAAGATAAATCATGTTTATGATTTATTAACAAATGAAGATATGTGTGTTCATGTGAAAAGCCACTAAATTTAATTTCTAAGTTAATTTAATATGTACAATTGAATTTCTTTTGTTCGATATTTGTCATATTTCTTTATGCTTTTATAGAACTTTACGTCCGATAAAGAGAATTGTCTATTAACGGGTAAAATTAGACATGACTTTTTACTTTTTCCGGACTTGTTAATAATGATTAGAGGGAAAAAATTTTTTTCCTTTTCTTATTTGAAAATAATAATTTTACTTCAAAAAAAAACAACAAAAAAAATATAATGAAATTTAATAACTTATTTATTTTCTAATTATAAAATTGAAAATAACAAAAAAGAACTTATTGTAATGTGTTTGATCGAAATTTGGGATGATATAACATATTATTAGAAGATGTTATTACTGGTTTAGTAACTTTTTTTTTATATTCAAGACTATTTTGTTGTTGATGTAAATGTAAAGCTCGAATCATTTGTCTTGCTTCTTGACTTTTTTTATTTAATTTTTCATTATCTTTACTCCAATAACAACATGTTAAATATGCATATAAAACAGATCGATATCGTTTGGACATAAAATAATATGTAAGTGGATTCGATAATGCTGATGCAAATGAAAAAAGAAGAATCAAATCAACAAATATAGTTGGCATTGATCGATAAAATTTTTTATCAAATGTTCCAAATGTATGATAAATAAATAATGGTGTCCAACAAACAAAAAATTCAACTATAATAACAATAAGAAGTTTAAGAGCTTTTCGTCGATGTCGATCCACACGATAAGTACCACGATTAGATGAATGTTGACTTCTATTACTACCTGAACGAGAACAATATGAACGTTTTTGTTCTTTACATATTTGATGAAATGGTGGATTTGATTGTGAACGTTTACGATGATTAGAATTACCATGTTCATCATCACTTATTCCTGATTTCGATTTATTACTTTGAAATGACATACGTCCAGCTATTTCATTTTTTGAATTTAATTTTTGATCAACTAGATCATGTTGAATACAACTATTACGACGAACTGTCGGAGGACTTGATGAAGTTGAATGACTTTTACTGTGATTATTACTATCTATAACAGAAACAAATTTTATAAATTATTAATATTATCATCTAGATTAGATTTACTTTGAAAAGATCGCATCCTCAATGCAGTATTATTTTTGTACATTTTACAAATAATTAAAGTATAAAGTACCAGCATAATAAGCATTGGTGCCAAAAAATAAAAAACTATAAACAAAAAAAAAGAATGATTGTTTTTTGTTTTGAAAATAAATCTATTCTTACCATCTAAGACAATCATATAATATCTTTCATCAAAATATTGTGGATTTACTTTTTCACATTTAAATTTTCCAGGTTTAGGTAATGAGCATAAATTATACATTGGAATATTTGGTAATGCGCTTAAAAGACTTAATGTCCAAATTAAAAATAAAATAAGACCATTAAAAAAATTAGCAAATCGAAGTGATTGAAGTTTTAATATTAATAATGGACGACATATTGCTATATAACGTTCAACACTGATACAAACAAGAGTAAATACATCAACAGCAACACTTAATCCTATTAAATATATATTCAATATTAAAAGTTAAGTAAACATATGACAATTATCAAACTATTCAAATATTTATGGACATAGATTAAATCTATTTTTTATCTTATATGCGCATTTTTTGTTTAGAAAGTGTAAGGTTCAAATATGTCAAATCTCGCATAATTTTTAAATTAATGAGATTCTTAACTTATCTTATACTGCAAATTCTACTTGACCTGTCTGTGTGTGACGTTTCAAGGGCTTTATATATAATATAATTATAGAAATTGTCTAGTCGTTTTTTCTAAGAAATCTTCAATTGAGAATTTTATAAATAATCAGTTGTTGTTGTTGTTGTTTTTTTTTGTTTAATATATACAGAGAATATTTTTGAAATGAATTTGGTAAACTGATCACATACATTATAATGAATTAATAATTCAATAATTATTATCCTGTGACAATTAGACAGACAGAACGAACAATGGAATATGTAAATATGTAGACTAAAACAGACACGAAACTGTCAATAGTTCCTTTTATTTGTACTCAAAAACTCTATTATTGAACAGAAACATATTTATTATTCAAAGAAAAACATGTTTTTGACTTTGTTTTTCTTGTAACTGAATAAATCAATTATTATCACTGTTGGAAATTTACAAAGATTATGTTCCGATAAATATACTCAATTTCAATTTTTTTCTATCATTTTACAAGTTGATATAAAACATTCGTATGTTATGAGAAAAAACAGCATACTTCAATTCATCACAATAAATACAAGACAAGGGGATTTTGACATACTCTTATCGTAAATACTTTTGTACTTATAATAAAAAAAAAAGAGTCCATTATCCTCTTATTAGTTTTTCTGACATAGATATATAAAATACTCTTTATTTATCAAGTTATTTTGATGGAAAACGAAAAAAATATTACCTTGAACAATGGGTAAAACCTTGCAAATAATTGGTCCAAACATAAAATTTCGTTTTACTCTCGCAATAATAGTAAACGGCATAAAACATGCACGTAATAAATCAGCACATGCTAAATTAACTAAATATTTATTATTTGTTAATCTTATCGGTCCTCGTGAGCCGAACATAACAACAAGTGCTGCGGTATTTCCCAATAAAGAAAGAATAAAAATTAATAATGATATACTATTTATAATCCATTCTCCATCACTTATATTAGATGATTGTAATGATGCAACAGTTGCATTTGGTAAAATTTGTGAAAAATTTCGATTTGTATATATTCGACACGATGATATAAACATTATTTGTAATTCGTAAATATTTACATGATCCTAAATAATTCTCTCTAAAATAAACGTAAATTAAGCATTATTATAAATTGTCAATGACAGAAAAAGAGAGCAAAAGAAAAGATGAAAGACTTCTTTCTTTTATTTCTATTCTACTTTTCTTTTAACTATTCTCTCTGTTCGGTTTCCTTTTGTAGTGCATTTGGTACTGTTGGGTGTGTTTTTCTATTTCTTTCTCTGAGGACAAATCTATATTTCTTTTATATTAGTCATCAACAGTAAAGAAGAAGAAGAAAAAAAGGAACAGAAAAAGAAAATATATATATATATATTATTATGCTGATATGAATGAAATCTGATTCTCATTGTTTTACAATTCATTTTTATTTAGAAAAAGAAAGAAGAAGGAAATATGAAAAACATGCAAACTAAATAAAATCCAAATAATCATGATTTTCTTTAGGGAAAGGAAAACATTGTATTGGCTGACCTCAAAAAAATATTGTCCTCTTTTTTATTTCTCTCATGTACTCAAAATCAGAAAACTGAAGAGTCTTATATAACAACTAAATTTGATTGATATGTAAATCCTTGTCAATGAAGTAACAGTTGATCATCTCTTGAGGGACAGAGAGAGAGAGAGAGAAAAAAAGAATAGTTTCTTTCTCTCTTAAATATAAGGAAAAAATATTATTTGTGGGCGGATCATCTTCTAATCAATAAGAAAACATCGTTTGTATTTCTTTTCTACTTGAATAAAAATTTTGATCATTTCTATCGTGACATTTTTTCTTATTATAATCTCAATAATTTCTATTCCGTTATAAATGAAAACGATCGTAGACGAAAAAAAAAATTATTTATTTGTCAACTATAATAAAAACAAAAAAAAACGACTATTCGATCATTGACTTTATTTGTGCATCAGATGATTCGTTATGAATTTCTAATGAAAAAAAGAATGTTTCTCTTACACATTATACAAATTTGTTTATGGCCTTTTGTGATTTATTTGCATTTAAGATTTTGGTCATATATTCATGTCATTCTCGACTAAACAATTCCCGAATATATAGAAATCTTATATGTAAAAATCGAATATTTTCTCTTTAATTAAACACATATATATTATTTTAAAAAAACTTCGACAGACAAATTCTATTTACATAATTCTATTTGATAAAGAAAAAACAAAAAAATAATAGTTAACCCGTTGAACTGAGAAGAACATCAAATGTAGTAAACATAATATATTTATCTAGTCTTTTGAACTATACATAAAAACGAGAGAAACAAAAAAAAAGAATGCATGATTAATAGAAGAAGAAAACAAGAGGAAGGAAGTCTATGAATAATGTGAACGAATTGATTTCTTTATGTTAAACTAAAAAATAATGACATTAACTTACATATTAATGTCATCATGTATCCTATTCGAATAGATATTAAACAATATAAAAGAATGTCTTCTTGTCACTACCAAAGACTTTTGATAATATATATTATTTTTTTTTCTTTGATGACATCAATCAAACTCGAAAGTATATTATATTATTTAATTATATACTTATCTCTATTTCAAGTTAATACTTATTTTAAAAAATAACTCATCAAGATTTATTTAATTATCTATCATTTAATATTAGGTACTTTAGCATTCATATTATAATGATCATCTATGCTAGATTAGGATTATTAAGAACTACTCGACACAAAGAACTTACGAGTTATAGTTTGAAAGGAGGAAATAGGTTAAGTATGTTTTTATCAAAGAAAAGGATGTGAGGTTAAAAGGAAATGTAAGAGAAAACATGTCATAGTAAGAAGAAAATTTCATTGAATAATTTTTAATTATAAAGAGGAAGGTGGGTGTATATATTCTACCGCTGACATCAATGACTATTAGATATAAAAGTAACACATGTTTTGTCTAACTAGAAATAAGAGATTTTTAACGGGTCAATTTCTTTTCTATTTTGTTAATTTCTAAGTAATCAAAAAGAATGTAAAATGTAGACATCTGTATTTTGAATAATACTATAAATAGACAAAAAAGGGTTGTTTTTTTCAATCAAAAAGATAATGGAGAATGACAAAACCATGATAATTCTGTGTAGGTAGTTTGTAGTTAAAACAATACTTTTCGAAAAAAATCTATTTTTATTATTGTTTAATTATTTATTATCAATAATTATATAAGTCAATAATTAAAAAAAAGGCGAACAAACTTGGTAGAAAAAGGTTATTAGTCTATTTCCTGATGTAATCGAACTTTCTATAATAAAAGTACAAAACAATATGATAAAGTGTTAAATTAAGAAAACTAATCATTTTAGTCTTTTTCAATTCTCTTGGTACTATCTTGACAGTTTAATTCATTAGAATAAGTTTACATATTAATAGATCAAATAGTAAAACTGTTTCACTTATTCTATATTTATCAAAAATTTAAATATATTTTTTTATTTATGAATAATACATAAGATATTTTCTATGTGTCATTTGCTTAGACACTATAAAGAATTTAATCGTAAAAATAGATATAAAAATGAGACACTAAAAAACAAATGTTTATTGTAATTTATTGCTTTGAAGTATCTTTCAAGAATGTTCATTTTATGATCTACATGTTTTGTCTCTTTTTGTTTTCTTCTTACAAATATTTATCCATTAACGATTTCCTTCCGTTTCATATTTTATAGTGTTTGACTAATTTTCTATTCAGTATGTCGAAGCATTTCCTCAATTAAAATAACATCATCCCTCAGGCAAAATAATTTCTGACGATCTTTTGTTTCTAAAATATATCTTCTATGAAAAAGTCACGATATAGATGTAGACAGGAAACGGACATTAGAGGCATTCATCTTTTATGCACATGATTAACTCATTTTATTAACAAGAATTATTTCATTTCGAAATCAATTTAATTAATTACACAAAAATTGATCTTATTTTTATTGATGAAAACTTTTACCCTAGATTTAAATATGTTCGACGAAAAAAATCCAGATGTTACATACCTTAATGGCGAAAAAACAAAAATACGAGCGATGAAAGATTGACTAGAATTGATATATAGACATACGCGTCTGGTTGATGACAGACAAAAATAATAAGAAATATCTGTTATTTTGACTTAATTCGTTTACTATTTTATCAGTACGAGTAACTTCTTTGGTTTTATGACTTTCTTTAATATTATTAATGCGAAATCTATATTCTATATATCTTACGATCATAATTTTTCTTTTTTCATATTTATCATAAATGTGTCATCTGATAACCGTAAGACTAAACTATACTCAATTAATAATGAAAGTCATGCTAAGTACTGAAAAGAAAAATGCCTGATAATAGTCTTGCAATATATCTACATACATATATAAACATTAAGAAGGTTATTTTTTCACTTACCCATAATTAGTTTTTATTATTGACGCGAAAACAAAAACAAAGTCATGCATCTATAACTTGATTAGTAGTGACGTAGATTTAAATCCTTTAATTTCTTTTGAACGCTAATGAATGTTTTCAATATATCAACCATTAAATAAATGTTCGCAAGAAAACTAATTTCAATCTTTATGTATAAGAAATAATCAAATAATTTTTTCCTAAAACGATTCTCATGTTTGAAATATAATTATCTATAAAATCTTGTTTTTCTATATTATCAACTAATAACTACGAAATTGATATTTTGAATAGATTTGTCAATAACAAAAAAAAGGAATATTTATTAGTAATATTCTTAATTGTAAATTAATGTTTTATAACTAAATATAGGAATACAAACATAATGTGAAAAAATGCTTCTATAATAAATGACCATCTAAGATGGAATAAATTCTAAAGTATTATTATATATTTCGATATTATAACATAAAACAGATCTAATTAGTATGAAAATATGTTTTTTTCAACTATAAATTTCTTCGGATCGCTTAAGGCATGATCTTTCATTTCACAAAAAAGCAGTAATAACTATTTCCTGGTTTCTAATAAAGTATAAATCCTACGATAATTTATTTTTTTAATATAATTTTATCTGAATAAAAATTTAATAATAAATGTCAAGATAAACTAAAAGAATTAAATATATCTTCTAAGTACTTATTATGAACGGTAAAGGAATACTTGTTATTACATTTAATCTAATATGATAAATATGTTGAAGATAATCTTCTTAAATATAAATATTTTTGATAATTACCAAACATATCACTTTATCATAGATAATAAGAATATAAATGTATTTTGTCAGTTTTATAATCTAATCCACGGATAAGAAACGTATTTCATATAAAAATATCTATAAAAGCTTAGCATCTTTTCTAAGAAAAGACATTATATTAAGTGCTATTAAAAAAACCCTGACATAGGAAACTTATTTTTCTTCCAAATTCCGATGTATAGACAGATAATAAAAATAAAATTACTTCTATATGATTATAAATCAACACAATATTTTTTTTATACTGAAAATATTAACTGTTTATAAATGCAATGTGTGTATATATCTCGTAATGTAAAATAAACTATATGCTCGTTAAGAAAAAAAATTGTTTTGCAAGGAATATGTGCCCATACCATTGTGAAATATTTTCAATTATGTTAGTGACTATTGTGAATGAGAAATCAAGAATAAAATGTCTTACTTTATATTTCTAGACGATTAAAAGTTCCTAATGACTTGTAAAAGCTTAAAATATTTTTACAAATAGATTGAGGATATAAAATGTTTATATTAATAGTTCTCCGACTCTCGATTTTAAAAGAAAATATTTTCTGCTTTTAAGAAACTTCATAATTTTGATTGTCTGAACCTTTCTAATATATAACACACATGCTAAAAATAATTGTAAGAGATGCAGAAGGCGGATACACACATATTTCGAATTGAAAATAAACATTTAACTAATTAAAGTACAACTATTAGTTATTAATTTCATAAAAATAATTAAAACTACCTCGAAGACAACGGAAAAGTAAATAGAACTTACCAAACTACGCAGTCATTTTCTAAATTTTGAGTATATTCTAACTATATTAGCAACTTTCTAAAAGAGATATGAAGTACAAAAAGAAAAAGAACTGCAATTAAGTTGTTCATTCTTGAGAAGTCGCATATAATAAAGTTTTCTTTTGATAAAATAAAGAAAAAAAAATTTTAACAAGCCTTCATCAAGACACAAAAAGGATGATTGTCAAGGTTGTGTCACGTCTGATTAAATATAGAAACAACAAATTCTACGTCATATTATTAATTCCCTTAGATTATAAAATCGATTATTTTTAAAATTTTACTTGTTTAAATATAGAAATAATTAAAAAAATATTATCTTCTGGTGTTAAAATTATATTAAAATTTAAAAATAATAAAAAAGATTTGTCATCGTGATTCAAGTTTATCTACTGATCAATTAATAAATGATGGTTTTAACAGGAAATCTAATGTCGTATGTAGATAGTTGATTTGAACTTCTTCACTCGTTGTTTTTTATTTTTATGAAGAATACTTGATATAGATAAGGATCACATTCAGTATGATCCTTAGGTTATAAATTATTTTAATATGAACTTTAATAAAAAGAAGTACATATTTAAATTATTCATTAATGTGAAATCTTGTTTCTAATAGTAAATTTCTATTTTTTATTATGATAATATTCAGTTACGCGAGTAACCCGCCAAAATAGACTTAAAGTTCTTATTGAAAGTATTTAATATTAATTAGCTCAACATGATATATTTCTATATCTGAAAGAAATTTTAAAAGTAATTCATACCTTACCATTTTATACATTTAATATCAACTCAATGGTTAGAGATTCTATTCTCATCTAAATAGAAAACAGTCATGTTTTTTTTGGTTCATTCGTTTCTATAAGAACATGAAATTTGAAGTAAATTAGTTTTCTATTGTTCAATATATGGAATATCATCCTTTGGTAGTTTTATTTCATTATAACCCATGTGTGATTTACAAGTTAGATTCTTATTAATATTACCAAATTCGAGAGTTTGACATTGTAAAGAGCGAGTTCTCAGGTATCTATTCATATAACAATTTTATGGATCAAAAAAATAATATTTCATAACTGTTTATGTAATGATATATTTTACATGATAAATTATAACAAATCATAGGTTAACTTGACTTTTTTTAAGTCATAAAATTATCAGATTACATAATAAGCTGATAATCGGAAGAACATAGTATTTATCATGCATTGAGGGCAATTTTAAATTGTATCAATATACAGAAATTTGATCTTAATGAATCATTATCCAGTCTCTATATCTATTTAATTCCGATGTGTTTAATTATAATAGAATGTTTATGTTTATCAATAAGTGTATATTCAACGATCAATAAATGTTTCGATAAAATTTACAGTTTTGTTCGACAATTTTAGATACAAGACGAGAAAAAAAACATCTAAATTAAGACATGAATAGAAGAATCGAAAGCGAGATTAGTATAAATTAAGCGAGATTAAATAAAAAAATGAAAATCTTAATGACTGCTTGATGATTGATGGCTTTCATAAGATTCAGATGTTTTTTGTGTTGTTGTTGTTGTAGCAGCAGCAACATGTACTGCTGGACCATGTGTTTCACCTGATGCAACAGATTTTGTTGTGATAACCTAAAGAGAGAAAATAAAATTTGAATAAATTAATGCGAAAAAAAAACACTGAACTGTTTGTGTAGTTGATTGGATTCGTCGTTGTGCATCTTCAGCAGCAAGTTCAGCAACTTGTTCAGTTATTTGATCAACTTGTTGATTAGCTCGAGCTTGTGCTTGTTTGAAAACAGCTAATTTTTCTTGATTACCAGCATTTTGTATAACATCAATATCTTGTCGAGCTTTAAGTAAAATAGCTTCTTGACGTGCATTTAATTCACGTTCAAGTTCAGCTAAGAAAATAGCTTTTTCATTATCTAATTGAGCAACACGTTCTTGTAAACGAGCTCGATATTCATTTTCAATAGAAGATGAACGTTCATTTGCATCAGTTAATAATTGTTGTTGTTGTTGTGCTGTTTCAGCAACAACTTTATCAATGGCACCTGATACAGCATCACTGATTTCAGCAGTACGTTTTTTTGAATATTCATCAATTTGAGTATGTGTTGTACCTTTTATGTTAAAAATAGAAAAAAAAATTTTGCTTTCTTTTCTTTATAGACAAAAAAAAGTAAAGTTTACCGAGTTTACTCATAAGATCAGTAATTTTTTTTGAATTTTGCATACTGACTTTTGAATTTGTTTCAGTTGATACAACGGAATTAACACGAACATCGTCGCTAACAGCTGTATGAGCCATTGATGAACCTGATGATGAACTAGCTGTAGTATTTGTTGTTGTTGCTGCTGCTGCAACAGTTTCATGATTTTTTTTATCTTCTTTATCTTTATGATGACCACCAAATAATGCATTGATTATACTAGACATTTTTTGAATTTAAATAGTAATTTGAAGAACTAAAATATAAAAAAGAACTAAATAGGTTATAGAGTATAAGTATATTGCATGTATTGAATTTCAGTTTAAGTTAATAATAAAAAAAAAAAGAAAGAGAAAATGAATGCTACTAATGTACTTTCTAGAAGAAGAAAATGACTAAATAAATACAATGTTCTCGTTTCTTCTTACTACTGACACGCGATTCCTTCTTCTCCATGTCTCATAGAGAGTGAAAGAATGATTATTAAATCGAAAGACTATAGACAAGCTGACGATGAATTTCTTTTTTTTTTCTTCGTTCGGAATATTCTTATCATTTTTTCAGCTACTCGATGGACGAACAGTATCGTTACTTCGAGTGACCTTTAAATAATAGCATGCATCATTCAGCAGAATAAATATATATAGTAGAACGAACAAATAATTTTATTTGCATCTGACCGAATGATGCTGAGGGCGAAAGAAACTTCTCTTCTCCTTCTTTTTTTGAACAATCTATATCTAAAAGAGAAAGATGGAGCTGTTTGTCAATGAATAGATTTATTCAAATCAGGCAATTGAAAAATCAGATCACATTGCATATTATCAATTAAATTGTTTTTTATTACGTTTCCTCATATTAAAATATATTGATCATTTTAAAACAATTGAGATATGAATCTTTTCTATAGATGTACGGTAATCTATTTGTTTATGATCCTGAATGGAAATTAGTTGCATTTGAATCAGGTTCGTTATCATCATCACGATGTTTAATATTTCTTGGTGGTCTTACAGATGGTCTTTTATCACTTCCGTATGTTGAAAAACTTTCATCTAAACTTGAATCTCTTTCTAAACCATTTTCATTAATTCAACCATTATTACGTTCATCAAGTCTTCAATATGGTTGGCATACAATTGATAATGATATTGAAGATTTAAAAACTTTAATTAATTATTTAACGAATAATAGAAATCATTTAAAATCAATTATACTTATGGGACATTCAACAGGTTGTCAAGATATTATTCATTATCTAAGACATGAAAAAAAACATGAAAAAATTCATCGTGTTATTCTTCAAGGACCTGTTAGTGATAGACAATATTTATCTACACTTTCTTCTACAAAAGATCAATTAGATTATTGTTTTAAAAATAATAAAGATATTAAGCAATGGTTACCAAGAAGTCTTCATGAGCCACCATTAACAATTGAACGTTGTTTATCTTTGAATGAAATTAATTCAATTGAAGATTTCTTTTCCAGTGATTTAACAGATGAACAATTAAAATATATTTATGAAAATATTCAAACACCAATAACATGGATTTGGTCAAAACAAGATGAATATGTTTCGGATAATATTAAACAAAATGTGGAAAATTTTATTAAAAATAAATTAGCAAGTAAACAAAATTCAACATTTATTTCACTTGAAAATGCTGATCATGCTGTTAGCAATTTACAAGAACAAAATTATATGATTGAACATATTATTCAAGTTATTTCACCTTCCGATAAACAATAATTCTAATCAAACATATTTTATAAAAGAAAATGTTCATTTTTGATGATAGAGTTTTTTTCAAGTATAGAATAGATATTATGCTCTAATTTTTATTTATACAGATTTAATGTCGTGAATTTGAAGTCAAACGATTGCTTTAATAGTAATATTGAGCTATTAAATTTTTTCTTTGATATCGGATGAATTGCGAATTTCTAGCAAATATATTTATTAGTTTGATTACTAATGCATTATTTGTATTGGAATTTGAATCAAAAATTTCATTAAGAATTATCGAATTTGGAGTATGTCAAGTTATGTGAAATGCAAAATGTGCTAATGCATTTATTGTTTTTAGTTTTGATTATATTAAAAAATTCAGCAAGGAGATCGGATTCTAATAGATACAATCATATTAAGATGATTATATAATACTTTTGTCAATTAGTCTCACAAAGACTCATATACTTATATTATGAAACAACGTATGATATTTACTTAAGTTCTTTATTCTCAATTAAAGTTAAGACTTTTCGAGAAATAAGAGATTTTTCATGTCTAATGATGAAATGATATATGTCTAACTGAGGAAATCCATGTTAATTGGTCGTGGATGTGTATGGAGTGATTTAATGATGTGAATATTAACATGGGGATGTAGCTCATATGGTAGAGCGCTCGCTTAGCATGCGAGAGGTATGGGGATCGATGCCCCACTTCTCCAATGATTATATTTTTT